AGACAGCAGGAGCACGGAGCCAAATCCTCACTCAGGGTTTCACCAGTGCACGTCCCATCAAAGTCACCGGGAGTTCCAAGTATCCCCTTAGAAGTGAGGATTTGGTCCTTGGAGAGAGCATCACAGTCAAATTTCTTCAGACAGCCGAAGTCTCTCACTGTGATATATTCCCAATGGCCCTCTTTAGGTCCCTCCATCATTTATTGACTTCTACTTTGCTACACGCTGCCAGATGGAGGCAAGGAAATTTGAAGAGCAACTAGTAAACAGAATATAAGGAAATAAAACCAACGCTGGCTCCCTATTTCACAATTAGTCTCTACTTGCGCTCGAAGCCAACACCAGAGATCTTTGCAAAATTACAATTACCAGATATGCTGGATGCCAGGAACAGTAAACGCAGCTGCAACACAGCAAGGAAGGGGGTTAGTTCTCTCCTGTATCTCAGGAAAGCATACTGTGATACGTTCTTCTTTTAATAAGGCAAAAAAGCACACAGAAATCTAAAAAAATCTTATAAATGCACCAGGAGTAAAACTAAGTAACACAAAGTGCCTCAATTCTAACATTAAAAAGCAAATATCCCCTGGTATCAACAGGTGGACAAAAGACTGGACATATAGTGTAGATGACTCCAAAAGTGATAGAGAGAGTTAACATTCAGGATAAAACAAAGTAAGTTAACTTATCTCACTTTATTCCCTATAGTAAAGGTTTTCATGGACCAAATATCACACACTTCTTCTACATTAACAAAATTGTTTGTCTTCTGCCTGTGATAATCCAAACCATCAGAATTTAAGTGATATGATGAGAGGTAGGCTAGTCCACAGCGGTAAACTTTGGCAAGGAGATCTGAGCATTTAAATTACAGCAACTACCTAGAGCTGTAGATCTAGAGCACGCTGAAGTTAGCGTGTGAATTCAAAGGGAAAAGGAAGAAAATCAAAGAGGTAGCAACAAAAAAAACAGCATTAGAACCTGGAAAGTCTTCTAAGAAACGCACTTAATCAAGAGCAAGAATTGTTAATGCAAATGATTGTTTTGTAAGAGTAATTTAGTAAAATTAATCCATCAACGTATCGTCAAAGCTCGTTAATGGACATGAAAGGGTGCTAGCTCTTCATCTGCTGCTGGGATGTTTCTGGGGTTTTGTTGGGGTTTTTTTGAATATATATTTTTTTAGTGGAGAACTTGAGATCTCCAAAAGGATGCAGGTTGGCACTCGTGTGGACAAAATCACATTGCTATTTCAGAAGCCAAGTTGATGTTCTTATTACCAGCTTGGCCTAGACAGTGCAAGTTTGTTCATGTAAGATTAAAGGGATGAGGTCTCTATGGCATATTGCAGTATGGTCCTTGGAATAAGATTCTCATTTACTAAATAAATTACTGTATATTACTGTATAATGGTGTTCACATTATAACTGACAATTAGCGCCATTAAAGAGAAAGCTCATAAACAGCCAAAGCTCACATCAAATTAACACAGTCATGATTAAAATCACTCTTCAGATTTCTGCTCTTCACAGAAATAATCAGCATTTTGCATAAAAATGAGTACGAAGCAGCTCAAATAAAATCACGGTAATGCCGGGACGGTGGTACCGAATTCCAGCAGCACAGCAGTGCCACGTCAGTGCTTCACTTGCCTAGGAAATATTCAGTGCCGGGTTTCCCTCCTAGCAGGGAGCTGCAAGAGGGGCTGGTAACCAGTGCGGTGACACTGGAGATTAAAGCACTGCAATTACTCCTCTTGGCTCTAATGAGGGGAACCTGGGTTCTCTCCTGGCCTGAGGGAAGCTCATCTTCTCTATTTTAATTTTGTCACTTCGCTATTTAAATGGTTTCCAGCATTTGCGTGTTCATTTATAGCGCTTCGACTTCAGAAAGAAAAAGAAAAACCTGAGTAATTATAGCGGAGAACAATAACAAAATACAAAGGAGTCAGCAATTCATTAAAATTTAGAGAATGCAATGTTAAAAACTTTTCCTAACTTGAAGAAAAAAGGAGAGAGACTTTTTCTAAGCTGGCGCAGAGCCCACATCCTCATTAGGATTCGTGCTCCACTTGCACAGCAATGCGCTTAATGGCATTGCTTTAATCTCCAGCACCACAGCACCAGTTCCTGGTCTCACCCGAGATCATTGGGCTAAAATGAGGAGGAGGAGGGAAAAAGAAACTTCAAACCAATGCAGACCAGGCCTGGCACCACGAACCAGAACCTGGCTGGGGATGAAAGTTTGAGGCACGTGGACATCTCCATTCACAAATGCTACTTCAGAGACAGCCAAAGCTCATAATGGCTTCACGGGGCTCAAGTATCACCAAGGAAAACCTAATCAATAAATAAGCAGTCAAGACCACATAATGATAGAATACCATTACATATGCCAAGGTCTGAAAAGGAATCACTATGTGCCTCATATGCATAAAAGTACTGCAGGATAATGCGCCTTTGATCCGACATGCCTTTAAAGCAGGAAACAAAAGGATGTTCTCATGTATCTTACCACCTAATTTAACATATAAATCACAAAAAAATATGATCCAGATGGGCTTCAATGAAGGAAACCAATTAACGTAGACAGCCTTACCATCTGACACATTAGTTGCAATAATAAAAACCAAACAACATGGTCAAACAATAATGCTCTGGATTATATCTGACATTTCTAATTACTTTCTGCATCCTCTTCAAGAAAAAAGACTACCAGCTAGCACTTTGTTTCCCAGAGGAAAAAACATCTAAACTTCTACGGATGAAGCTGATCTGCGCTCCCTTGGGATGTGCTTTGGAATTAATGGCTTTTGCTTAGCCCACATCTGGTCGCACAATTAGACTCAAAATTGTTTCCTTTCAGCTGCATCACCACCGTAACTGCTGCAGACCTGGGACGTCAGTACCTGCGTGCTCCTTAAAAGCTTCACCTACGTCCATGGGCTCAGAATAATCAAAATTATTTAGGCTTTGCTTTCTGCAGGATAGGATCTTGGTTTTTCCTTTCTACAGCCTTCCTAGCAATGCCACTTCTCGAATGAAGTACAACATTTCTGGCGCAGACCTCCCAGTACCAGGCAATTAAGGCCACATCAGACAGTCACAAGCTGAACTACAATTAGCATTACAAATTAAAGCTTTCCTATGCATACATGTACAGTTACTGTTTGGGAGGCCCAATCCCAACTACGAGGACTATTTTTGCATGTATCAGCAAGAAGGACTCGTTTTCATCACCTTAGACCTACTGGACCCTTCAAAATCCACCCATGGAAAACCCTTTTCAGCACACAATTGAAATTTGGAATTCTTAGGCAGAAAAAAAAAAATCAGTATTCCAATTAACTGGGGGCAGGGGGGGGGAATTGGAAGAAAGGAAAATTCTCTCTTAGGAATTTGCTTTTCCCCTAAGTAAAATAGCTTCTATTCATCATGCCAGCATCAAATAGCCTTGGCATCATAAGAAAGAGTTTGTGAAGTGGAAATACCATTTCTGACACAAACAAGAAGGCCCAGGCGCCTTTACCATCTCCATTCCCTGAAATTTCAAAAGAGGAGTTGACTGGCTCTGTAGACTTCCCGAGGGCTCCTTCTGCCACCCAAAAACTGGGTTGCAAACATCTGCATTTCCAGCTGAGACAAGGCTTCATGACAATATTTGGGCCTTTGCTCCATGTGTTCAGGGGTGGCCCCTTGTAAGAAAACACAGCTACAGCAAGCCAGAAAACTGCTGAAAAAGCTCACTAAAAAATAAGAAAATAAATCTCTGCCACACAGAACAGCCAACACATAGGTTCAGAACTGGGAAACAAAAAATGGCTTCTAATTCTCATGTGATGGGGCAGTTGAAGTAGGGAGGTGAAAATCAGAGGTTTTGGTCATGCACCAGTCTATCACAACCTCCCTCTGTACTTTGAAAGCTGATCCTCACCTCCTGAAACATGACTTTGCTAAAGCCACATGTGATGAATTACAGCAAGCTGCAAGCTTGCAAGACCCATCTCAAGACAACCATTTCTGCCCAGATGTGAACTTTCCAGGGAAGCACAGCTCCCCGCAGCCTGCTCACGTTCACATGCCACGCTCCAGAAGTGCTTATCTGCTTACCGACAGGCAAAGGTAATCCCAGATAACATCTGTTTTATCTCACCATGAAAAACCTTGAATATGAAGTGAGAAGTATCAACAAACTCTATTGACACAGAAAACACTGCACGGCCAACAGAGCGACCCAGGACTGTCAGTCACGAGCCAAGACTCAACCGCGCCAGGCTCCAGAGCAGCTCGTGGCGCCAGGACTCTCCCTGTCATCTAAAAACACAGCCTTGTGGTCAAGCTGCGGATGGTTGCCCAGCCCCATGCTCTGAACACAGCCACGTTGGCAGGGTTCTGTGCCCAAGTCGATACCTTGCTCCTGCTGCAGCATCTGCATGGCCGGCAAAGCAGGGCTGGCTGGGGCCCAGCTGGCTGCTGCGCAGGCAGAGCAAACGCACAGCTGTTTGCACAGTTTAATGTAGACGTCCTGTCAGCACAAGGCAAGGGACCACAGCCGAATACAGGTAGAGGGGGCTGTATGTGTGCAAGGAAGTAGTACTGCTGGAAGACAGCAGTCTCGGCACGATGGCTCCCAGGCTGCTGGTATTTGTTTGCAAGCGACATGGGAAAGAAAAGATCTGGAGGACAAGGAGGTCACTTAGCGGATATTTGCAAGGAGATCCTCCCACACATGAAAAGCTTATGGGAGAAACCAGAAAAGTGGCTGTTTGCAACTTAACCCATGGGATGCGAGAGCTGGCAATGCTAGTAAAGAGCTCAGAGCTGACATTGCAAAAGCACATAAGAGATGATAGATAGAGTGCTGCGAGGGCCGGAAGGGCCTTGAAAGTGATATGTTCACTGAAGGAAACATTGCCCCATTTCACAGTCGTCTCAAACTACAGCAATACATTCTGATTTTATTTTTTTTCCAAGAACATAAATGCATGTCTTTCTACTCACCTCAACGGGGAACCTCTTGCCATTGATGCTGTGCTCGGAGCCAGCCGATCCGTTGCTTTGACCCCAGTGAAACTCCACTTTCTCTGCCTTGAATCTGCCCGGCAACCCAGCCCCGCTGACAAAATAATCGTCCTTC